ATGACGATGATGATGATGATGAGGAGGAGGAGGAGGAGGAGGAGGATGGGTATGATGCGGATGATGGTGATGATGAGGATGATGAGGAGGATGAGGATGAGGATGAGGATGAGGATGATGACGAGGTGCTTGTGGTGACGGTGGTGTTGCCGGTGGTACTGATGCTGCTGACAACGATAATACAACACATCTGTTGGTGATATTTATTGGCAGAGGTCATCTCCCTGACCCCTCAATCGAGCCCAGACCTAAGGGGGATTCCCATAAAGTACCCTTAGTAGTATAGGGTCCGCAACTAGGGGATCTACCTTTTAGATCCTTGCGGGGTCTGGGGAAGGAACGCAGATAAATTGATCCTCCGCTCCTTGGCTTCAGTCCAGGACAATCTGGTCTAGGGCCTCTGCGGTTTAGCGGATAGGGCAACCTCAAATCGGTCGAGACTGCCGTACTGTTTCGGCGACCTAAAGGGGCACCCCAACTTGGAGAACTACCCATATAGCGGCCAAAACCCAAACCATTCAACCCCAAAGCCCAAACAGGAAACCCGAAACCTTCAATCCCAAGCCCTCTAAACCTGAAGCCCTGGACCCCACACCGTAAGCTAGGGCCTCGAACGCTCAACCCCAAACCCTGTGACCCTGGAAGCCTCCAACCCGCAACATCAAACCCTAAACCATCCTAAACCCCAAAACTACCCAAAATGAGCCTGAAAACCATCCTAAACCTCCATTCCTCAACCTTAAACCCCCAACCCCCAACCCCTAAACCCTAAACCCTAAACCCTAAACCCTAAACCCTAAACCCTAAAACCCTAAAACCCTAAAGGTTACCTACTCTGCTCTTCAGCTAAAACAAGCCAATTCGGTCAGGGCCAGGCCTCCGATGATCTGCCTCAACAGATGCGGCCGAAGAAACACGGTTTAGGGTTTAGGGTTTAGGGTTTAGGGTTTAGGGTTTAGGGTTTAGGGTTTAGGGTTTAGGGTTTAGGGTTTAGGGTTTTCCGGGTTTAGCGTTGCTTTTTAGGGTTCAGGGCTTTTAGAATTTAGGATTTTAGGGTTTAGGGTTTTAGGGTCTAGAGTTTTAGGGTTGAGGGCTTTTAGAATTTAGGATTTTAGGGTTTAGGGTTTTAGGGTCTAGAGTTTTAGGGTTGAGGGTGTAGGGCTTTGCACTTTACGGGTTTTGCGCTTTGCGTTTTAAGGTTTGGGGCTTTGTGTGTTAGGGCTTAGGAATTGGGGATTTAGGTTAGGGCCAGGATTTACGGCTCGTAGGGTTTAGAGCTTAGGGCGTAGGGCTTGGGTTTTGGACTTTGTGTGCTTAGGGTTCAGAAGGCTTAGAGCTTCGGGCTTGGGGGTTAGGAACCCTAAACCCTAAACCCTAAACCCTAAACCCTAAACCCTAAACCCTAAACCCTAAACCCTAAAGGTTAGGTCTTCAGGGTTTGGAGCTTAGGGCTTTAGGCTTTAGGGCGCTTTAGGGTTTAAGGCTTTAGAGTGTTACATTTAAGCAAGTGGTCAGTGCGGACCGCGGGCTCGTTGTTTTAATTTTGGCGGGGAGAGCAAGATATGGGGGCCTTAATACTTAGCATCGGGTTTAGGGTTTAGGGTTTAGGGTTTAGGGTTTAGGGTTTAGGGTTTAGGGTCGGGTTTCGGGGTACATTCTAGTATATTTCTTCTGATACTCAGGGGTGATAATAACGGAAACTAGAGGAATAATATTGCGAACTCGTCAGGCTTATATATTAGACGCTGTGAGACCCTGTCACAAAAGAGAGGAAAGCTTCGCGAAATCTTCAGACCATAATGATAATCCCCGGATCAGGCCCCTAAACCCTAAACTCTAAACTTTGCGGGGGGCATCCCTAGTTCGAAGAAGAGCGGTTTAGGGTTTGGGATTGGGGGTTTAGAGCTTTGCAAGAAGAAGGACACCACAAAAGACGAATCCCGACTTGCACAGGATGCAACTAATTATTCCTTGTTCTACTCCACTCGGTGGACAGGACCCTAGCAGTATCCTGTTTGGGGTGTGGAATTTCAGGAGCAGGGCTCAACACAAATGACAAAGGGCTTTTGGCGACGACTGGACCCGTACTCCAATGATCTGCAAATCAAAACCCTAAACCGGAAACGGGATTTTTGGGTTCAGGGCAATTGGGGGGGGGGGGGTCCAAAAGGCTCCAACATGTTTATGTGCAACTGATATGGTAACCCGAAAAGTTTGAAGCTCTCTCATGGACTAAGCAAGTCCAGGCCCTAATCCCAAGGCAGACACGAAATCTGACATCCACAATTACGATTTCCTGCGGTACTAAGTCTGTAGGTTGGCCCTTTACAGCGTCGGAAATACTCGCAAATACGGGCAAACATACAATGTCCCAAAGGCCCAAAGGCCAACCCAGGCCCAAGGGCACGATACGCAACATCCCAAATCCATGAATCTAGGGTTTGGGGCTTAAGATTTAGGGTCTAGGCGTTTAGGGCCTATTACGGCGACGCTCTAAGCAGAGTCGCTGTAGGGATGGAGAATGGTTTGGATCTAGGATGATGGAGTGTTTCAGAAAATGAAGGACCCCAACATACACCCATAGTTACAGACGGACAATGGAACCCTTGTTCCACAAGAAGAGTCGTTAATTTCAAGAAACCTCATTTGCGCCTTTACCCGTGCGACCGCGACAAGGGACAAGGAATGCTTCAGACAGAGCCCACACGGCAGCGGCGAGTTTCGAAGTTCGTCAGGCGTGGGTCTTTATTTAAAGACTTGGGTCTTCATGGGTTTTTGGGGGTTTAGGGTTCAGGGTTTCAGCTTTCAGGGTTTGGTGTTCATGGCTAGCACTTAGGAAGTTTAGGGTTTAGGGTTTAGAGCCAGGGTCTAAGACTGTAAAATAGGGATAAGAGTAGTTACGTCAAATCTAAACCTTCTTTATCGAGGCTTCAATTTAACAGAGCTTTTCTAATTTGAGGTTGCGCGAAATTTGATAGGCGAGGCTTTACTTTGGAG